AACATAAGATGACCCATCAGTGGTGCAGCATGCAAGTTGCAGGCAGGGTTGTAGCACGAGTCCATGGTCGCAGCTGTGCTGACGTCAACTTACCCTCACTCTACAGTGTGTAACTCTACAGACCAGCATTTCTCAACTGGGGTTCCCTGGAACCCTAGGATTCTGCAAGAGTTCACTAAGGGTTCCAAGTGAAAGTGATAAACAGGGTAATCATATGTAAATGCATTTTTTGAGTAATTTTTAATTAATTTTTTATTCTTAATTTTACTATACATGTACAGAATATTCTTGGAAAATTTCTTGCCCATTATACAGTGGAAAAATTCTAACTTCAAACGGTGAGGGTCTGGGTTCAATTCTCAGCAAAGGGGTGGAAACATTGGATGTGTTTCCTTACACTGGTTGTCTATGTTCACCCATCAGTAAAATGGGTACCTGGGCATTAGTTGACTGGTGTGGGTCACATCCTGGGACAAAACTGACCTAATTGGTCCGAAATGCTCAGCATAACAAGCGGCTTTCTATATAGTAGTATGTCACTGATGTCGGCTACGGCTGTATACCTTGTATGTACATGTACTTGTAATAAATAAAGATATTATAATAGTCTTCAACCTGTTACATCATTTAAAAGTATAATGATCATAGGGAATACATTTAGTGATGTCTGTATGGCACCACTGTAAAACTGCCTTAGTGGTCAGTGGACAGGACCTGTACCAGATGGATTTGTGTATCAAGTGACTCGAGCAGAGGATGCATGCGTGATCTCAATCAGTCCTGTCTGTGCTTCCTGGTGTCCAGGTACAGTCCCTCTGTGGAAATTTTTTAATAATTTTCATAAATGTGGAGTATGTACAATGGAACCTCGGTTTTCATCATTAATTTGTTTCAGAAAGTGACGAAAACCGAATTCAACGAAAACTAAAGCAATATTTCCCATAAGAAATAATGTAAATCCAATTAATCTGTTCCAGACACACAAAAATGTTAACAGAAAACACATTTTATAGAGAATAACTATAGTTTTACATACAGAACACAATGACAAATAAATATAAAGTACTAATGAAATGGATAAATGAACATTTAACATCACTTTTACCTATACTGAAGACTCTTGTTGGCATATGGAAGACAGAGAGGAGGGGAGAGAGAGGAGAGGGTATCTCTACCACCATCACTACTACCCTCTACCACCATTGCTACCATTACCACCCTCTACCATCACAACCACTGACACCCTCTACCACTATCACAACCACCCTCCCCCATAATCACAACCACTGACACCCTCTACCACCATCACAACCACCCTTCTACCACCATCACTACCACCCTCTACCACCATCACTACCACCCAATACCGACGAGAAACAAAGTCAGACTGACTTAGAACGCATGGGGTGCTTTGTGTGGGTGTGGGCGGACATGTTCAGTACGGCAAACCACTGTCAACTTGACGAAAGCAGAGGTGATGAACGAAAACTGGGCCAAAATTTTGATTAAAAAAGTCGTCGAAAACTGAATTCAACAAAAACCAGGGCAAAGAAAAAGAGGTTCCACTGTATATGAATGTAAATAGATGGTATGTGTGTAAAATTGTAATGCTGAGTGGACCTCTAGAAATTTCAAAGAAAGTGGGGGAACTAGCATCACAGAGGAATACACAGGGAGATGCCATATTCTGAGTCATCTGGGAACACTGGTCGTGACAATGGTGAAGTGTAATCAGGCATCAACAAGGCCAAATTTGGGTGTATCAGCCTCAAACTGTAATTAAAAAGTAATGGGACGTTCCCCACAGAAGAATTTAAATATTGTATGAAAACCAATATAATAGTGGCATGAATGAAAAAATGGAGGATGCCAGAGCTTCCTTTAGCACACCTTAGATAAATAGCACTAACCCATAAATTACAGTAGTTTTACTTTGGCCTTCGTAATTTCTAGCTGTTAGGGTAGTGTCAGGGTGTTTCACTAGTAATGTTGGTGGTGAGTGTTAATATTACAATATTTCTAAATAATTTGTATAACAATTTTTTTCACCATATGTAGGTATAATGCTAATAATGTATGTAGTGGACTCGATATCTTATTCATTCAAGTCACAAATAATATACAGCCTCTCTGTTAACGACGGAGTTTCATTCCTATGACCACGTCAGTAAACGAATTCGTCACTATAGTGGTAGTGGGTTTGTCAACCATCTTTGATATTGTTTTAATGTCACCTTTGCACCATTTATAACATTATTAGTACATTTTTTAAATGTTTATATGGTAGTGTACAGTACATTGTAATAAACCGAATAGAGGAAATCAGCTCTAATATACCTTATTTAGGTATGCAAACTGGTCAGAGATCCCAACGCAAGTCCAAGTCGTCGTTAAAGAAGTACAGTATGTCGCTAAGTGAGGAGAGGCTGTATACAGTCCACTATCTTACAATTTACCAGTGTCACTGGTATTGTTTTTTATACATCTTAAATGTTCATAGGCCCGATTTTACTTGTGGTGGGAAAAGTGTGTGTAGGTCTCGGACAGGCATGGTGCAGCCTAGTGTGTCTGAGGTACAGCTAAGACTGGTAAGTTCAATAATTGGTTCTCGGTTGTACCCCCCTACCCCTTAAATTATGTGAATGAAATATTTCAGGAATGTACCTGAAATATTTCTTTCCAATAATTTCCCACACCCTCATTCAGCCACATTATTTAGAAAATTTTACTCATCATTTAGGGATGTTATATGAATGGGATGTTATATAAAGTAGCTGGGATTGATGGGATAAAGGCAGAAATGTTAAAAGCAGGTGGGGATGTAGTTTTGGAATGGTTAGTGTTTTTATTTAATAAATGTATGGAAGAGGGTTGGGTACCTAGGGAATGGCAGAGAGCATGCATAGTTCCTTAGTATAAAGGCAAAAGGGACAAAAAAGAGTGTAAGAATTATAAGGGAATAAGCCTGTTGAGTATACCTGTTAGTGTGTGGTAGAGGAGTTACTGAAAGAATTCAGAATAAGATGGAGAGCAGGATCGCAGGGAAACAAGGAGGCTTTAGGAAGGATAGGAGGTTTGTAGACCAAGTGTTTACAGTGAAACAAATAGGTGAACAATATTTAGATAAAGGTAAAGAGGTTTCTGTGGCATTTATAGATTTGGAAAAGGCATATGATAGGGTGGATGAGGGAGGGGCCATTGTGGCAGATAATGCAAATGTATGGAATAGGAGGTAGGTTCCTGAAAGCAGTGAATAGTTATTATGAGGATAGTGAGGCTCTGGTTTGAGTTTGTAGGAGAGAGGGAGATTATTTTCCAGTAAAAGAAGGCCTTAGGGATGTGTGAAGTCACCATGGTTGTGTAATGTATTTATAGATGGGGTTGTAAGAGAAGTGAATGCTAGGGTTTTGGCAAGAGGCGTGGGATTCAAAGGTAAAGAATCTAACACAAAGTGGGAATTGTCACAGTTTCATTTTGCTGATGACACTGTGCCTTTGAGAGATACTGAAGAGAAGTTGCAGAGTTTGGTAGATGAGTTTGGTAGAGTATGTAAAAGAAGGAAATTAAAAGTGAACGTAGGAATGAGTATGGTGATGAGGATAAAAAATGTAGGTAATGAAAGACTGGATATAAGATTAGAGGAAGTATGAAGGAAGTGAATGTTTCCAGATATTTAGGAGTGGACTTTGTCAGTAGATGGGTCTGTGAAAGACGAGGTGAATCAGAATTGATGAGGGGGGAAAAAGGCGAGTGGTGCATTGAGGAGTCTGTGGAGACAAAATGTAATCCATGGAGGCAAAAAGGGGAATGTATGAGAGTATAGTCATACCAATGCTCTTAAATGGGTGTGAATCATGGGTGGTGAATGTTGCAACAAGGAGAAGGCTGGAAGCAGTGGAGATGTCATATCTGAGGGCAATGTGTGATGTGAACATAATGCAGAGAATCTGTAGTTTGTAAATTAGGTATGGGGTTCCTAAAACTATTATCCAGAGGGCTGAGGAGGGGTTGTTGAAGTGGTTTAAACATTTGTAAAGGACGGAGTGAAATGGAATGACTTGGAGAGCGTATAAATCTGTAGTGGAAGGAAGGCGGGGTAGGTGTCAGCCTAGGAAAGGTTCGAAAGAGTAAAGTAGGCTTTGTGTGTGAGGGGCTTGGACTTCCAGCAAGCATGCATGAGCACATTATATAGAAGCGAGTGGAAACAAATGGTTTTTAAGACTAGAGGTGCTGTTGGAACTGTTGGAGTGCGAACAAGATAACATTTATGAAGGGATTCAGGGAAACTGAGAGGCTGGACTTCAGTCCTGGAGATGGGAAGTACAGTGCCTGCACTCTGAATGCGGGGTGTTGATAAGTTGCAGTTTTATAACTAGTGTAGGCACACCTCTGGCAAGACAGTGATGGAGTGAATGATGATGAAAATGTTTTTTTTTTTCTGGGTCACTCTTCCTTGGTGGAAAATGGCTGATGTTGTATGTTTATGATTTTTATTTATTTTATATATATCTGTATAGTCCTTGTGGCTTAGCGCTTCTTTTTGATTATAATAATAATATTTATTTTATATATTTTTATTTTTAGGGAAATGTCTGACCATCCAATGTGACTATTTTCTTAGAGGAAACATCCAGACAATTTTGATGCTAGTGATGAAAAATCGCAGTCTCCTTACAAATTTCACTGCACTAGTGCAACACCGAGCACAAGTCCACATTTACAAGTCCATCTTTACAATGAGTCACTACTGCCCCAGCATCCAGGTCTGGGACCGAGATGCTGAGGCAGTAGTCAAACATATTCACCACAACCCAGCCGATCAGGAACTGTTTTGAGTAATCTGTAAAATTCCCTCTTGAAGATAGCTAGGGGTATTTTGGTAACCATTCTGAATAAAGTGCGCTGAAGACTCATGGTCCCTTAACACCTACTGAACTTTATCTGTGTACTCATGGCTCCACTGCTTTTCATAGGAGGTATCCTGCCAAGGTAAATAAAGATTTGATCTGTTGAATGTTTATTTACCATGCCCATACCTAGCAACATATGGTTAGCAAAGGAAGTATCCTAGGTCCTTTTTATTTATTTTCTACATCAATGATCTTTCTACCCATACCTTGCAAACAAAGGGGTATCATAAGAAAGCAAACTAGGTCCTCTTATTGTTTATCTAAATAATAAGAGGACCTAATATCTAATGCCTTCCATTAACTCAACCTGGTTCTCCACATTACAATTTCACTGTTAAATCTTTGGCCCACCTTGTAGACGCCTACCTACTTCGACTAGTGAATCCCACCCACATGTGACAGTCTTTAACTGGTGCATCTCGTTGCCTCTTCCACTAGCTCCAGTCTACTGCCTCTGCAACAGACTGATGAAGCTGATGTACAGGCAAAACATCTTTCAATAAAATAACCCAGGTTTACATGCACCATAGTTATTAAACCAATCATATTTGCAGATGGCACAACTTTTGTCATCTAAAATACAGATCTGGTTGTCCTCAACACAGATGATGACAAGCTTGTAAAAAGATATCTATTGTACTTCAGTGCTGGCAAACACTCACTCATTATTGATAAGAATTTCTACAGAGTATTTGGGAATAAAGCTAAAAATGTTCAATTGAATGTTAGGTAAATAACAAGCGAAAGACAAGATGAAGGAAAAATTTAAAAAATACATCAAACTAAAATTTAACACTCACATTGTGCAAATACCTAACAAATTTTACCTAAAACATTACTCATTATAATTATGAAAACAGTATACAGTACTGACCAGTAAGATGCATATGCAACAGTTTGGCATCTTTGTCTGACAATAAAGATATTGAACTGTTGCACATGGGTCTTACTCAGCACTGCATACTTCTTATGTGGAAGTATGCAGTGCTGAGTAGGTTGTCACCCGTTAGTTATAAGGATGTTGTTTTCTTATAAATGGTTTCATGTATTGTGATTACGTCAATTATGTGTGATATACATGTATACTGTATATTATTAAATAAAATATAAAAAAAAAAAACTTCTTATGTGGATCTACAAGTGTAAATCACCTAAAACCCATCATAACTCAACACAAATCTTCTGTTGGAATGATCGCTCAGATACCACACACCCCTACTATTCAAAAGTTTATATTTGTTCAGCATACATAACCTCCACATTACTACTGCATATACTATACACAGTACATACAGTACATGATACTCAAGGCAAATGATAACCTAATCCTAAAACTGTTCTTGGAGACCTGCAACAGAATACATACACAGCAAAAGAAACAAATATCTTTTTGATATCCCACATTTCAATTCAACCTGAGTAGGAACTCCATGCAAATAAATGGCCAAAAAAATAAGGAACTCTATCAGAAAATTCTTAGTTCCTTATCCATCAACTGCTTCAAAATAGTTAAAATACACCTGAAACATGTTAATTTACATAGATCACATACTGTACATGTAATAGACAACTGTTTCTCCAGATTACAGTCAGCAGTCATATTCATATGTGTATTGTTACCACTAAATTTCTAACCCTAATAACAAATATAATAAAAATTTGTCAGTAAAGGATGTATTACTGTACCTTCATATCAATACTGTTTAAGTGTACCGAGTTTTGTTGCTTTAAAAATTATTACATTTAATCGTCTAATCATCAGACAACTTAATTATACTAAACATTATTATTATAATTGGATATACTAAACCTAGAATTCATACAATCTAACTTAAAACTATACAATATTGAGTAGTTTTAAGTTTTTATACTGCAGAAAATGCCATGCATAACCAAGGGCTTTCAAAATGAATGAAATAAATATTGCCCAATTTTTGTCAATTGTCATACATACCATTTGAAGATAAAAATTGCTTGTACATGCACTACACTACATACAGACTTGCTTTTTCTCAAGTGAATTACTGTACGTGTTACATCAACTTACATATAAACTTGAAAAAAATAAAAAATAAAAAAAAAATTTGGACACGGCAATGAAAAACCGGTAAAGAAATTTGTATATTTAGGTATCAGTCAAGAGTCCCTCTTCGGCAGGTGAGCTTGTTGAAGGAAAGTTTTCGAGATCAAAACACTAACGCAATTTTTTTTCTCTCATTTATTATGTCTTGTTCAATTTTTCACTCTTCATCAGTGTTCATGACACTTTAATCTCATCACATACAACCATGTGCACTTTATAAACGCTAACATGAATTCTCTCCGGAGTTTCACAAGACTGCATTCTTTACTAAACATTTCACACTTCTTAAAGAATTACCATCTGGATGACAATGCACATGCTTACCACCTATGTGAATTCACTCATGTTCTATAAGTCTACTTTTAACTCTAAAGCATTTCAGACACTCTGAAGTCTCGTATGATGTAATTCCAGTGTTAATTCTCTCTTGTTTTACAAGACTGCCTATTTCACTAAAATGTTTATGGCACACTGAGCATTCATAAGGTTTCTCACATGTGTGGATTTTCATGTGTGTTTTAAGATTGCCTTTTTGTCTAAAAGATTTCAGACACTCTGAGCATTTGTATGGTTTCTCTCCCGAGTGGACACGCATGTGTGCCTCAAGACTGTGTTTGTAACTAAAACATTTATCACATTCAGAACAGTTAAATGGTTTACTTCCTGTATGAATACGCATGTGAGTTACAAGAGTGTACATTTGCTTAAAGCTTTTCTCACACTGCAAACACTTGAATGGTTTATCACCAGTGTGTACTCTCATGTGTCCTACAAGCTTCCCTTTAGTGGTAAAACACTGCACACATTCTGGACACTGATGGGGTTTATATCCTGTATGAGTACGTATGTGTTTTGCAAGAGACCCTTTATCACTAAAACATTTCAGACATTCAGAACATGGAAATGGTTTCTCTCCTGTATGAACCCGCATGTGTCTTATAAGATAGCTTTTGTGGGCAAAGGCTTTCAGGCAGCTTGTACACTGATAAGGTTTTTCACCGGTGTGAGCTCGCATGTGTTTTACAAGACTGCATTTGACACTAAAACGCATTAGACACTCTGTACAGTGGTAAGGTTTGTCTCCAGTGTGAACCCTCGTATGCATCACAAGTGTGTTTTTATGACTAAAAGATTTCCCACATTCCGGACACCCATATGGTTTCTCTCCTGTATGAATACGCATGTGTGTGGTAAGATTCCCTTTAGAGGAAAAACATTTATGACACTCTGTACACTGGTACGCTTTTCCCCTCGTATCAACACTTGTGTGCTCATCCAATGAAGACTTTCCTGACAAGTCTGAGCAACTAATCATCTCCGTTTGTCCATCAACTGCCATCGTTTATTTCCAGGAACTTGCAACAAAGACGATGTCACTTACACAGAATAATGCTTAGTCAGCTGAAAGTCTTGTCAGATAGTGTTGTAAAATGCTTGGCCAGTTATAAGGCTTATCCAGACACTGCAATATAATTCTTGGCCAGTTGAAAGTCATGTCCAGACACTAAAGCATACTGCTAGACCATGGATGGCACCCGGCTCCATCATTTATCTGTGAATTAGAGAAATGGTAAGACAACACATTGCTTTATGATTATTATTATTTATTATTATTGTAATAAGTCAAACCTCGGTTGTCGACTGCATTACTTGTTGCATTAATCAGTTTTCGAATGAGATGTTTGAGAAAAAAAAAAAGTCCTGGTTTTTATATTTTCTCTTGGTTCTCAATGAACAAGTTTGTGCAATTCTACACCAAAGCATCTTTTGAAAGGTACTTTGAAGTCACTTTAGAAACAACTTTAACCCTCAGGGAGTTCTGGAAGGACCATTTCAATATTCCCACCTGCTTGAGGCTTATGAATAAAGCCTGGGGAATGTGTCTTCCAGGATCATGCAGTCAGCATGGAAGAAATTGTGGCCTGACATTGTGGTAGCCAGGGATTTTGAAGGCTTTGAAGATGAGCCTGAGCCAGTAGAGGATATTCTCCCCGGGAAAGACTTAGGCCTAGAGGTGACTGAAGATGTGGAGGAGTTGATGGAGGAGCAGAGAACTGAACTCACCAAGGTAGAACTTATAGACCTTCAGAAGGAGCAGCAACAGATTGCAGTGAAGGAGCTGTCAACAGAGGAAGAGGGAAAGGATGATGTGCCCATTGCACTTGTCGAGGAAATGTGTGCTAAGTGGTGTGAAGTGCAGGAGTTTGGTGAAAAATACCATCCAGATAAAGCATAGTGACCATCCATCTCTCTAACATGTACAACGACAGTGTTACGTCTCAATTTAGAAGTGTTAAAACGGAACCTGAAACAAACCTCACTGGACAGGTTTTTAGTGAGACAAAGAACGTGGGAGACAGAACAAGTTTAGTGGTAAAATAAGACAAAGAAACAACACCAGAAGGATAGTTGCCCGACATATTAACAGAAGGCAACTCCTCTTCCAAGCAGTAACTTTCCCCCCTCCACCTCCTGCTTCCAGTATACCATTAGCTCTCCTATGACAGGTAATGGGGCAGTTTCCCCTGTATAATTTTATACATTGTTGTATGTAGTTGTTGGTACATTACTAATATATTGTCATTTGGGGTCTGGAAAGGATTAATTCTATTTATTCTTTATGGGTACAGTTGCTTTGGGTGTCATCGATTTTGGTTGTCGAATCAACATCTGGAAATAATTAAATTAAAAAACAAAGGTTTCACTGTATTATTATACGGAAAAGCTAAATGTATGGTGCCCTTAAATACCAGTGAGGGGCTTTTGATTCAAGGAAGTGAAGTTGCCCTCCCCTTCCTTTCATCAAACCTGACTACCTCACCATCCCCAGGCACTAGATGACCCTTATATGTTTACGGTTCTCGCTGTAAGGTATTGTGGCTTTATTATGAATTGCTTCAGCCATCATACTGAGGATTAGTTATGAATTGTTTCAACTGGTATTGTGGGCTGTGAAATGCTCTAGAAATGGTATTGTAGGTTAGTGATGAATTGTTCGATTATTATTATAATCAAGGGGGAAGCGCTAAACCCAGAGGATTATACAGCGCCTGGGGGGGATGTGGAAGGCATTCAGGCTTAATTCGGGGAACTGGAGCACGGATCCAATTCCCTAAATCAAGAGCCCCTCACCAACATCAAGGAACCTTCCTTGAGGGGGATGAATTGTTCGAATTGTGGTATTGTAGGATAGTTGTGAATCATTCCAGCCATGGTATTGTGGGCTAATTATGAATTGTGCCTGCCACATTATGGGTTAGTTGTGAATGGTTCCACCTACAGTATTGTAGAATAGTTAAGAATTATTTCATCCATGGTACTGTTCCAGCCACAACTGGGACCTCTTCTATGGCAGAAATGACATGTTTGCTAGGGATGGGGTTCACTTATCTAGGTGTGGGGTGGGAGCACTGGCAACTGCAGTGGAGGGAGCAGTTAGGACTTTAAACTAGGAATAGTTAGTGGAATGGGTTTTGGCAGGAAAGCAGTGAAGTCCCAGTGTAGTAATATTACGAGTTCTAGGGGAACTAGTAATAAGAACGAGATAGATATTGAAAAGCCAGGGACCTTGGGTGATAAGGACAGTAATAGGTTTAGTAGAAAAATAGAAATGAGCAGGAAGGGTAAAGAGAAAGGAGAGTCTTTCAATGTTTATTATGCTAATTGCCGTAGTGCTAGGAATAAGATGGACGAGTTGAGATTAGTTGCTAGTGTAGGTAACATTGATGTATTTGCCTTAACTGAGACGTGGTTTAATTCAAAAAGTCGGGACATGCCTGCGGAATGTCATATTCAGGGTTTTAAATTGTTCCAAGAAGATAGAAGTATTGGGAGGGGGGGTGGGGTGGCATTGTATGTCCGAGATCGCTTGAACTGTTGCATAAAAATGGGTATTAAGTCTGAAGTAACACATAGAGTCTGTTTGGATAGAATTTTCAGAGGGGCATGAAAAACTGATTTTAGGAGTGATATACCGTCCCCCAAACTTAGATAGGGACCAAGGGAAACTACTATGGGAGGAAATTGTTTAGGCCACAAGGCACGATAATGTAGTAATTCTAGGAGACTTTAACTTTAGTCATGTTGATTGGAATTTCTTGACTGGGAATTTAGAATCATACGACTTCTTAGTATTTCAGGATTGTTTTTTGAAGCAGTTTGTGACAGAACCTACAAGGGGAAATAACCTGCTTGACTTAGTTATGGCAAACAATGAATCCCTTGTTAATAATTTAGAAATTTCAGAGGAACTGGGTGCTAGCGACCACAAATCAATTACATTTAGCATTGAATGGAAGTACGATAGTAGCGATAACTCAGTAACAGTCCCAGATTTTCGCTTAGCAGATTACGATGGGCTTAGAGAACACTTATCATCTGTTGACTGGGGTAACGAAGAGAGCTATCAATATGACAGTTTTCTGAACACTATACATGCTGCTCAAAGAGCGTTTATCCCATATAAAGAAATTAGATCAAATAGAAATGACCCAAAATGGATGAATAATAGGCTCAAATATCTACTAGGCATAAGAAAGGAATTTATAGGCGTATCAAAAGAGGTGAGGGTCATCTTATGAATCAGTATATTGACATTAAGAGGGACATTAAAAAGGGGATAAGAAAAGCTAAAAGGGACTATGAAATTAAAGTTGCTAGGGATTCTAAAACTAACCCAAAAAGTTTTTTCCAGGTCTATAGAACAAAAGTTAGAGATAAGATAGGTCCCCTTAAAAATAACTATGGGCACCTTACTGACAAAGAGAATGAAATGTGCTTGATTTTAAATAATTATTTTCTCTCAGTTTTTACACAGGAAGACACTAACAATATTCCAGTAATTAATTTTTACAGTGGGCTAGAAGAAGATAAATTATGTAACATCACAGTCACTAGTGAGATGGTTGTGAGGCAGATAGACAGACTGAAGCAAAATAAGTCGCCGGGTCCTGATGAGGTTTTTTCAAGGGTTCTTAAGGAATGCAAATGGAACTCTGTGAACCATTAACTAATATTTTTAATTTATCTCTTCAAACAGGTGTAGTGTCTGATATGTGGAAGATGGCTAATGTAACTCCTATTTTTAAAACAGGGGACAATCGTTACCGTCAAATTACCGCCCAATAAGCCTGACCTCAATTGTAGGCAAGTTGCTAGAGTCAATTATAGCTGAGATTATAAGAAGCCATCTCGATAAGCATAGCTTGATTAATGATACTCAGCATGGATTCACAAGAGGCCGGTCTTGTCTAACTAATTTATTAACTTTCTTCAGTAAAGCTTTTGAGGCTGTTGACCACAATAAAGAATTTGATATTATTACTTAGATTTTAGTAAGGCTTTTGATAGAGTTCCGCACCATAGACTGTTAAGAAAGTGGCAGCTCATGGCATTGGGGGAAAAGTGCTCTCGTGGATCGAGTCATGGCTCTCTGACAGGAAGCAGAGAGTGTCCATAAATGGGGTTAAATCCGAGTGGGGATCTGTAACAAGTGGCGTTCCACAGGGATCAGTCTTGGCCCGTTGTTGTTTATAATATATATCAATGATCTTGATGAGGGAATTACTAGTGATATGAGCAAATTCGCCGATGACACAAAGATAGGTAGGATAATTGATTCAAACGTAGATGTTAGGGAACTTCAGGAGGATTTAAACAAACTCTATTCTTGGTCAGAAAAGTGGCAGATGCAGTTCAATGTAGATAAATGCAAGGTTCTGAAGCTTGGAGTGCCCATAACCCTAGTACTTATAAATTAAATGATGTAGAACTTAGCCATGCAGATTGCGAAAAGGACTTGGGGGTTATGGTGAGCAGCAACCTTAAACCAAGACAGCAATGCCTAAGCGTACGTAATAACGCAAATAGATTACTGGGATTTATATCAAGAAGTGTAAGCAACAGAAGTCCAGAGGTCATACTGCAGCTTTATACATCATTAGTAAGGCCTCACCTAGATTATGCAGCTCAGTTCTGGTCTCCGTATTACAAAATGGACATAAATTCGTTAGAAAACATTCAAGCGTAGGATGACTAAATTAATACATAGCATCAGAAATCTTCCTTATGAAGAAAGATTGAAGACTCTTAAGTTACATTCACTTGTTTAGACGAAGAATGAGGGGAGACCTGATCGAAGTGTATAAGTGGAAGATAGGTATTAATAAAGGGGATATTAATAAGGTCTTGAGGATGTCTCTCCAAGAGAGAACGCGCAGTAATGGATTTAAATTAGATAAGTTTAGATTTAGAAAGGACATAGGAAAGTATTGGTTTGGAAATAGGGTAGTTGATGAGTGGAACAGTCTACCTAGTTGGGTTATTGAGGCTGGGACTTTGGGTAGTTTCAAATCTAGGTTGGATAAGTACATGAGTGGGAGGGGTTGGATTTGAGTGGGACTTTCACATCAGAGCTTATTTCTTGGGTGGCACTGAAAATTGGGTTGGGCAAATGTTTTGTTAGTGGGATGAATTGTAAAGGACCTGCCAGTATGGGCCAGCAGGCCTCCTGCAGTGTTCCTAATTTCTTATGTTCTTATGTTCTTATAGCAT